GTTACGTTTTAAGTTTTATTTTTTCCTCGGAAAATAATCGTTACGTTTTAAGTTTTATTTTTGTTTTGTTTTTTTCTTTCCGCGTGATTTTTTGAGTTGAAATTTCAAAGGATAATCGTTATTTGCGGTCCCTGCTTTTCATAGATTTTGGTAAAATAAAAACTTTTTGGTTTGGGCCTTTGCAAATTAAGGTGACGATATGTATTATAAGTAAAAATATTGTATGGGGGAAAAATTTGTCACATCCGTTCAGGGGTGGGGAAACGTCCTGTGCCCGGGTGGGTAGTTCTGCTGGTGGCAAGAGTATTCAGGTAAAAAAAAAAATTGGTTGCCGATCTAATTGAGAAGGTTAACAGATTTCGTTAGAAAAACGTATTGTTTTACATTAGCGTGGGCTAAAAATCCGTTTTTTTTAGAATTTTGATTCGTAATAGCAAAAATATGGTTCATGTTGCTCTGAAAACAATCTGTGTAAAAGATGACAATTTTTGGACAATATCTTAGGCTCGCCCAAGTCCATCGAAGTTCAATATGCGCAAAAAAAATTTAAAATTTCAATTATCTTGGAAAGTATTAGGCCTACATAATTTCGTGTATGGACCTTTTGGAAAATTTTTACCACTTGAACTTTGATGGACTTGGGCGAGCAGAAGATATTGACCAAAAACTTTCATCTTTTACACAGATTGTTTTTAGAGCCATATGAACCATATTTTTGCTATTACCAATCAACATTCTAAAAAAGTGGATTTTCGGCCCACGCTAATGTACATATGTATATATACATATATATATTTCATGGAAATCATCATTTAAACAAATTTCGAAAAAATTTCTTTTCTGCAGTAAAAACACGGCCATTCGTTTTGAATTTCGAGAAATGAAGTCGTTCATGAGTTCATGGATAAGAATGCAATATTGCTACATGGTTGAGCCGGTTTTGGTGCATTGTCGAGCACAAATAATTTTTCACCTTACGTAAAACAGAAAAGCTCCTCTCGTTAGAGCATGAAGACTCTGGAGTTGTAACAAGTAATCTAATGAAGCGTACCAATTCATTAACAAGTCCCACACACAATTTCACGCAAAAATTGCACAACATCTTTCACGGACCTTGGATTTTGCTCTGTACGCCTCATTATGCACAGAGCCATATATTTATCGCTATAGAGTTTGCATTCGTCAAAATCACCGTTCTAAAACGTGACATTTTCTTCAAATCTACTGTCTCACAAATAATGAACTTTTCTAAAGTTTTAAAAAACGTTGCCGATTCAGTATCAAATCTACTTGTCAAACTTTGTCAAAAATTTCATAATATATCTTCCGAAAATACTCTTCAGGTGTGGTTAAAACAGGATTTTCAGTTGGACTTATGGGTAATTACCCACCTTTAAAAATTTCAGGTGGATAGTACTACTCACCATACCCACGTCTTCCGCCGCCGCATTTTAATTTAAAATAAAATCAAGAACTAAGTAGTTCTGATTAAATGTGATTTGGTTGTATTGGTCCGTAATTTAACTTTATTTAAAGAACGTTTAAGAAAGGAAACTCTCTCAGGATTCGCAGAGTTTGGGTTAATTTTTCATGTATTCTGAAAACACTTATGTTTTTTCACGTCCGTTATGACTTCCTTTTCATCGAGTTTCCCAACACCAGTATTCAAAGCGCAAGGAAATGCCCATATATTTCTTATCTATTTTATACGACTATACGAAAACATACAGTTCGTCTATCAAAGGCGAGTCTGAGATAACTTTGCTCAATTCGAAATATGTATGAGCGCGTCGCTTCTTCGCGCTACAGTTAACAGTAAATAAAATTATGCATAATTTGTCGAGATAGTAGCTTAGCCGACTTCATAGCTATTTTATCGTCCACTGTGATTATGCTTTACTAATTCTCAGAAACTTTATATTTTTCACTCTAAAAACAAACTGATTAATTGAAACGTTTCTTCAAATCGTGTCCGTAGACACATACAAGTATATCTTAACTTCTAAACTGTTGCAGCTTAAGTAAAAATTTTGAACAAAATCGCCTCGGATCGCGGACTAATTAATAAAATTTAAATAAAATATGTAGAAAATTAACACTAAAATACATTCTGCGTAAAATCTATAAAGGTCCCTTCTATTTTTCAAAACAACTTGGGTAACAGCTATTCGTCGCCCCGCTGTTGTTCCTCAGTCAGGCCCCTAAGCCTATTTGCATAATACAGACTTCATTACAATTATATCGCTCTCTTGCACAAAAATGATAACCAAAACCACGAAACTTAATTCTTTGCTGGCTTATCTACACTTTTCAGCAACATAAGTATAATAAAATACATCAAACTGTTTCCCGACGTGCTAGCAATTTAGTTGATGAACGACTGCGCTGCAATACAGTACATTGCTACAATGGTACGTGGAAAAAATCAGTATTAGCAAATCCGCGAATATTTTATACTATTCTAAATATTTACATAAGTATATTTAATACAAATAGAGACACACAAACATGTCGCTCATTTACTTCAATGGTGTCATAACTCAACAAAGTGAAACTTGAGAAAAACCGCTTTAAAGTTTTTAATTTACATATACATATATACACACTCCCATAGTAAAAAGCATGATACAAATATTTAAAGGTAAAACCGCTCACTCAATTCGTCGGCCATAATGGGCCGGGCCGTATGAATAAAAATAAGCAATTGCTTTTTCTTAATATTTCAGACCTTTTACGCGATTTATTCAAACAAAAGTGAAGTAACAGGTATGAAATTTTAAGAAAAAGCAATTGCTCAGTTTTTATTCATACGGCCCAATATATTTTTTGAAGTTTGTCTACTTTATAAAATTGAAATTTTCAGAGCAACTCAAATTCCAAGCAAAAGCCTTTCAGCGGTTTTACCTTCAAATTTTTGTATCATGGTAAAAAGGAATAGGTCTTTTCTTCTAGTGAGATACTCGTAATTGATACAACAATGATATTTTTACACACCATAGAAGACGAAGTTTCTGCATACTTAGCCCAATATTTGTATTTTTTGGATTATGACACTATTGTACTAAATGAGCGACATATATAGTATGCAGCATTAGCATAATTCATACGATTCTATTTTACAGGCATCGGGAGCTTTTCGCACAGAGTCAGACACATTTGGTGAACTAAAAGTGCCCGCTGACAAGTATTATGGCGCTCAAACAATGCGGTCCAAATTAAATTTTCCCATTGGTGGATCATCCGAGCGTATGCCGGTAGGTTTATTTATATTTATTTACAGCATTTGAACTAATTTTTTTTCCTTACAATCTTTTCAGCAACCGGTTATTCAAGCCATGGGAATTTTAAAAAAAGCTGCCGCCGAGGTAAACAAGGAGTTCGGGCTGGATCCCAAGGTCAGTGATGCCATTTCAAAAGCTGCCGATGACGTTATATCAGGAAAATTGTATGAAGATCACTTTCCCTTGGTTATTTGGCAGACAGGTTCAGGCACACAAACCAACATGAATGTGAATGAGGTAAGCAATATGTGAAAATAAGCACTGAAGTCGCTTTTTGATTAATTATGTTCATTATTTCTTTTGGTGCACTAACGCTTATCAAAATTGTTTGTATTGTACCTGCTATTTAGGTGATTAGCAATCGCGCTATTGAGCTATTGGGTGGTGAATTAGGCTCAAAAACACCAGTTCACCCCAACGATCATGTGAACAAGTCGCAGAGTTCGAATGACACCTTTCCCACTGCCATTCATATTTCCGTCGCCCTGGAACTGAATAATAATCTGAAACCCGCCATTAAGATCTTGCATGATGCGCTTAAAGCCAAATCTGCGGAATTCAAGGACATCATCAAGATTGGCCGTACACACACCATGGATGCAGTCCCGTTAACATTGGGCCAAGAGTTCAGTGCCTACGCTCAGCAAACGGCGTATGCGCTCGATCGCATCGACGCTGTTTTGCCACGCGTATACGAGTTGGCATTGGGCGGCACTGCTGTCGGTACTGGCCTGAACACGCGCATTGGATTTGCGGAGAAGTGTGCGGCGCGTATTGCAGAACTTACTAAGTTGCCTTTCGTATCAGCGCCTAACAAGTTCGAAGCGTTAGCAGCACGCGACGCCATGGTGGAGGTGCATGGTGTTTTAAATACGATCGCTGTTAGTCTAATGAAGATTGGCAACGATATTCGTTTCCTTGGCTCCGGGCCACGTTGCGGATTGGGCGAATTAATGCTGCCCGAAAACGAGCCGGGCAGCTCGATTATGCCAGGCAAAGTAAATCCAACACAATGTGAATCACTTACAATGTTGGCTGCGCAAGTGATGGGCAATCACGTGGCAGTCACCATAGGCGGTTCCAATGGACATTTCGAGTTGAACGTTTTCAAACCATTGATCGTATCGAATGTTTTGCGTTCCATTCGCTTGCTCTGTAAGTTAAACCTAGATATTTGTTTAAAGTTAAAAAATCTACATTTTATCTTTTCATTCAAATTAAAGCTGACGGCTCCCGCACATTTACGTCCAATTGCGTCAATGGCATACAGGCGAATCGCGAACGCATTGGAAAAATCATGGCTGAATCATTGATGTTGGTCACTGCATTGAATCCACATATCGGCTACGACAAAGCTGCCAAAATTGCCAAGACTGCCCACAAGAATGGAACCACTTTGAAAGAAGAGGCCATCAACCTAGGCTACCTGACCGCCGAACAATTTGAGCAATGGGTCAAGCCAGCAGAGATGTTAGGTCCGAAATAAAAATTTGACATGTTAAATTAAAGTTTGGTATTAAATAACATAAATTAAAAACGATCTGTGCTGTGAGAAAGAGGAAATATATCAAAATTAAAATTTTGTGAGAAAACGCAATCAAAGTTTGATCAATTCACATACATACATATGTATGTACATCTAGACCTTGGTTTTTTAATTTAAATAAAATACTCAAACGAGAACTGCACTTCCGAATCTATACTATTACAACCATGATAAAAACATATATGATATTTTTATCATGATTACAACAATCACTGATATTTACGCCTTAAAAATAATTTCATTCAAATGTTGGCCGCAGGCGGAACATAACCGTAAATAACGAGCGGTACCGAACCATGATAACTGTTATTGTTGTGGTTGTTGTTGTAGCGGCACTACTAAGCCCCGCCTATTTATTGCATGAAATTGAAACAAGTGATGTTGGCAACATTAGGCATCAGCAAGTTATAGTGTGATATCACAACACTGGAAGTCAGAAGCCTTCGTCGAAAAGCCAACTATGATTCAAAACTTAGAAGCTAACATTATTCGCGCAATGCTGGAAAGAGTATTGAAAATGGACAACTTATAGCGTAGTCGCGGCCAAGATTTGAATGATTTTTTTTTTTTCAGTAAACGTCAGAGATTCTTCTTTCGGCTTTTAATAAAAGTTGCGTTCCAGATGCTTCACGATTTGCAGGTTTTACAGGATTTGCAGGAAAAGATGTTTTCTCCATTAATAAATCTTATGGAAGGTGGTCACCTGGAACGGCTTCCTATAAAAACCTGCAAATCGTGAAGCATCTGGAACGCAACTAAAGATTGCGATATCCAGTTAAATTTTAAGTAATTTATTTCAAATTAAGGAGTTTAGTTCCACTGAACATACAGTGACCCAAATATAAATTGGGACGCGATTTTTAACACGTTTTGGCTATTTATCTTTAGCTTATGTAATGTTTATTATTTTTTATTCAATTAGAGCTGATTACTTAAAAAAACACCATATAAATTCAAATTCGGACTTTGAGCAAAAAATATGAAAATTCTGCAAAATTTCACCAAAACACCGTCAACAAAAAATATTGCAAAAAATCAACGGATGGGTCGATTATGGATGGCGACGCAACCTCAATTATCCTGTCCATAAAAATCTAAAATTTAAACTGTGTACATATGCATGCGATTTTAGGGAGATTATTTTATTGTGGCAGAACTCACGAAGAGTATACGCGGGGTTGAGAAAAGATCGAACCCTGTACATAAAGGGCCTGTGCGATGCACATAATAAAAGCGGTATTACTGCTGTACTGATGAAAAATTGCAACTGCCCAACTGACAATACGTTGCTAGAATAATTCGCGCAACACTGCGGTTGTGATTGCAACTCGAAAAGCCCAAAACCTCTATTATAAGGCTCAGGAATGCTGTTAAAAAATCCAAAAGAGTTCAACGAAAATTTGCATGCGTTCTTTTTGTCGTTTATCAACCTCTTTATTTTTTAAATTCAATTCACATTTCTTTTTATTAATATGTTTTCACTAAATCTACATAGTATCCATATTATTATTTATGTATATAACGTTGTATATTTGAAGTCAATCCGTGATCTTTTGATTTGTTTGCTTGGCTTTTTAGTGATGTTTACCGCATGTGTGCGAAGAGTTAAACCCGATCGGTCCTCCTTCAAATTATAAAAAAAAGTGTCAAGTAACAAAACAAAATATAAATTCACAAACTAAATTAAAAAGTTTTTAAACTACACTTTAGCTAATGATATTTCATTAAAACATATGTAAAACTTATAAAAAATAGTACTGTTTAAGAGTAATTCAGCAAAACTTAATATGGGCACAACTTGGTCAAAGCAATTATAAAAAATTGCTTAAAAACTTAACAATGGAAGACCCGTTTCTATTGCAATTTCATGTTGTGGAAGTAGCTTGGCGTTGATCTGTTTGATTCCTACAAACTTTACTATGTCCATCCTTCCAGTGACGTGATTGGCAAACTTGCGAACAATATGCAGCACGAAAACAACACAAGTATATCGCTTCATTGAGACACCAATAACACTGGAAAGAGTTAAAACCATAACTAAGTACACATGTATCGTATATTTGTTTATATTGTGTTTTTATACCCATTGCTTTCGCTTAAGAATTTTCTTTTCATGTTCGTGTTTCTTTATCGATTCCTTAAGTTTTTCTATGTTTGCAAGCAACTTTTCATTCTTCCTCTGTGTTGCTGAAACCAACTTTAAGGCCTCATCAAGTTGATCTTGTACCTGGAATTTGTCGACTGATATATAAACATTTTTAGATTGCTATTTCGTTTACCTGTTTAAGATCTGCAGCACTCACTAATGTATTGGCGGAACGTGTTAATCGTTTCGGTGCCTTCTTTAGATTGCCATGAGCTCTAAAAATATTTAAACCACACGATATGTATATCAAATAATATGGGTATTCATGGAAACGCATAAATGCCTCCTAACTGCGTACACTTCGAAAATTTACGAGGTTTACATGGTTACTAGTCATTTATGCGTATACATGAATTGCCATTATATAACTAGGAAATCGAGAAAAGCATATGAAAACCTTTTTTCCCTTAATCTAGTCTCTGTATCGTTAAGAAATCCGCTATCACTTAGTATCGGAGGATCCGCCCCGGGCAACGATATGACATCGCCTGAGATATCCAAAAAAGCGTCCATTCTGACTGTTGACATTGTATTACAAATTGTTTGACGACGTGTCGGAAGCTTTCTTCCCTTAGATGAGTTTACCATGAATTGATCTGCTGTTCTCTGCAAAGCGTTTCTTATGATTTGCTCCATTTCGCTTTTGTTTGCGTGAAAAGAAAATATACTAGGCGGATATGCGGACAGAACCTGATGTATGCGCAATTCCTCCAGAGCTTTTTTAATAGCCGGTTTATTACCAATTTTTAACGACTTAATATCTGTGTCGATTGAGCGAATCAAACGCGATTCGATGAGCGCTCGCGAATGATTGCCTCCAAAGAAACGGACATCATACTTATTATTTGGCAGAAGACGTATAACTTTTGCAGGCCAATAGGAGAAACCACTATGCTTGGCAAAAACCAATTCATGCCGTTGAACGCATGGCTTAGCAAACCAAACACTTGAATGTTTTTCGTGTGAATGACGAAAACAGTCAGGACAACGACGGATTTCAGCCAAATCGTATCCTATGTCACGCACCAACCATTTCGAAGCCTCCATATCCGTACCATTAGCTAAGGATTAATCCAATTTTTACATGCAATCAACCAAAACATTTGTATGATTAGGCAACTTACGGCCAAAAAAGATGCCTATATTATGCTGCAAGTCGAGGATGTCCACAAAAAATTCAGTTAGCAGATTATACTGCAACGATTTAAGTTTAGCTGATATGCCGTCAAGACTCTTATCAGGGAATTTAAAGAGCAATTTCGAAACAATCGATATCAATTGGCTTGGTAATTTTGTCGATTCGAAATAGCTTAATACATCGTGTGCAACCTAAAAATAAATAAATTCAGTTATTCAAATTGTGTATCTTTTGGGTCGATTATGGAGAGCAATGCAATCTCACTTTGTTTGTCTGTGATCAACCATATTGAATTTAAAATATACATTTATTATGATTAGCGACTAAAGTTAAGTGCTCTGAAGTGGCAGGTAGGTTCTCTAAAAGCTTAAACAGACGGCAGCGTTGATCCGGATTAACTCAGACTTAATCCGGATCAACTGCAGTTAATTCCCGAATTGATCCGGATCAACGCCGCCGTCCGTTTATGCTTTTATTGTGTTCCAAGTGAGTCTCAACCCCATTAAATTCTAATTTTTCTAATTCTAAGTACTGGGCATGGCCCAGATTAAATATCGGGCCAATGAATGTCACTCCAGGGTTTTCTCCAAAAAGTTATGTTGTTGCAACAACGTTAGTGTAAACAAGTTGCGGAAAAGGTTTTCTCAAGTAACCTGTAACTTTAAAGCTCACTTTCTATTTAAAGGTTGCATTAAAATTTATGATTGCATCTAAAGGAAAGCATTTTATTATCGGTTTTAAATTGGTTTACAACCAAGAAACATACATACGTCAAAAACCGATAATCGAAAAGCTTAACTTTTTTTTAGCTTTATTTCTAATCCAACCTTTAAATATAAAGTGAGATTTAAAGCTAAAGGTTATTTCAGAATACGGCCCTTAGTGTATTAATAAACGAGAAAAAGAATCACCTACCCAAGAGCGATTCCGCTCAAATGTAAAATCTATCAGATAACATAGTTCGTCTGGTTGCATATTGGGTGGATGGCGCAGCTCTGCTGTTTTTAACAAACGACAGCATGTACACAAATCTAAATCAGGCTCTGTTTCTTCACTTGGGCACATTTCACTTTTATACGACACATTTGAGGTAATTGTCCGCCGACGTTTCCGCGTGGGTGGACGAACTTCGCCCAAACAAACCACTTCTACTTTGGTTTTGGACTCTGTATCAAACTCATCTACGTCCATTTTGTTGCCGCTATTTAAATTGGTTGCACTTGATACTCCCTCCGCTCGGTGAAAAACTGCTTGCACAGGCGATGATGTGCTGTCAACTGTAACTTCTTCTAGAAATCGTTGCTGCGGCCAACAATTTATTGAACTTAGATCCTGTTGTTGCAAGGAAGATGAAGCACGCACATCGCTCTCATAGCCAAAAGATGTAGATCCGTGTACAGTGCCTTCTGCATCAGAGTCAGTCTCTGTATCAGAGCTGAATGCTGGTGGACGATTCTTTTGAAATTTTCCGGAAGGTACTGGATAGTTGGGTCTTTCTGGATCTTTGCGAAAGCATAGACGATGAAATGAGCGTGGGCATTGACGGCAATGCGTCAATGAGCCAGGCAAGTGGCACTCAAAGCAATAGAAGTCATGGGAGACATCGTTCTGTAAAAAACACTGTGTGTATAACTAAGCCGTTTACTTCACCACTTAGGTTAAAAAGAGGTACCTTTATTTCGTCTATTTTCGGAAATCGCAGTAGGCGGAGAACACGCGATGACCCAGCGTTGTTTGCTATTGCCGGCTTCAGCAGCTTATCGTGTATGGCATTTTGCACAGTCTCCGAGGCTAACGCTAAAGTTTAAGAAATAAATTTGGGTCAAAATATTAATTAGGTATATATAAAATTTTTATATTACATTTCTCATAGTTTCCCACTTCTACAAGGGCTCGTACAAGCTCCTCCACTGTGGCAGAGCCCGAGCTGTCTGATCGCAGCGCCGACAAAAAGTACCGCAAGCAATTAGGTTGAGCTTTGCGAGACATTTCAAGTCGATTTGTTGTCCTCCATGAACTACTGTTTTTATTTATAGATTTACACACTATAATTAGTATTAAACTCGAGGTATTTTAGAAAATGCGATGCTTCCAAGATCAAAAAATTCGCAAAAAACGTCAAAATAAAAGGAAGGGTTGCACCGCAATTAGGAATGTTGCGATCCTACTGATATAATCTTGGTATCGATAGTCTGTTTCGGTAAATTGGTATTCGATACTAGGGTGACAGTACTATTGGTACTCATATGGGTATTTTCTTTCGATACCGCGTAATGTATCATAAGAATATCAATATAAATATCATCTTCATACAAGCCATATTGTTACTAGAATACTATTTAAGTATATTTCCTGATTAGTGATTCTATGGGCTGGTTTCTCCAACTCAACTTAACTTAGTTTAGTCACTTTTTGGACTTAAGTCAGAAGTTAGCCTACGTTTTACACAGCTTATTCTTGACTAAGTCAATAAAATTGGCTTAATGCAGCGTTTTTGCTGCATTTAAAATGCAACATTTAGCACTTTCGAACATATGTTTTCGAAGAGCGTTCATGCTATCGCATTTAAGGCCGGTCCACATAGGACTTTCGCGTTGGCTTTGGCGTTGGCGTTGGTTTGACAGAACGCACGTTAAAAGAATGATTGCTACAATGAACGCTTGGCAGCGAATGCTTGGGTGACTAAATTAACATACTAACGACAGATAAATTAATATTTAATATCAATAATTGCATTAAAAACGATATTTCTTGCCTGCACTTGATTAAAAAGGGAAAATATTTCACACAATTTTATTTATTTGCAACAGCTGACGAGCAACGCACGCGAAAAGATGAGAGTTGGCCATCTTTTTGCTTTGTGTTGGCGTGAGCGTTGCCGAATTTTGGCTATGTGGACGGCTGCACTTGAATTCATGTATTCATAGTCAGCTGTTGAAGCGACGCCAACGCCAACGCAACGCCAAAGTTTTATGTGGACGGGCCTTTAGCAAATGTACATTTACGCGAGTTCGAAATCGTATGCTTTTGACAAACAGCCGTGTTCCAGTCGCTTATTCAGATCCGTATCCATTACGATAAATTCTCACGGAAAAGATAATGTGCAAAAACCCCTACTGAAAAGGAAAAATAAATTCTAAACCGAAAATTCAATACAAAAACCTGAATTGTTTTAACCATAACCGAACATTTGTTTGTGTATATATTCATTTGTCGGTGCTGCCAATTATATTTTCCACACCTAATTAGGAAACAAAACAAACAGAGTTGATCACAAATTAATCCAGATTTCTATCAGCATCATATCGATGTTGAATTTGCGTAACTTTTCTTTATCCAAATAATATAAAATAATAAATGAAATCTCGATCGGCGATCACTGAAACGCAGCTAGCGGTTGTATACTCGAAAAAGCAATGTTGCCACTTTTTCTCATTAAACCATGTTCGAATCGTGGAAATTTTGGAAGATCACAGGGATGCTTTTAGCATTTAGATTCTAAATGCAAAGATTGAGTTGCATTTAGTTGCATTTAGATGACGAATTTTGTATGGATAAATGTACATTGAGAGTAGCATTTAGAGCTAAATGCGCTAAATGTACATTTACGCGTAAGCAAAAACAGCCCATAAAGCGCAGTTAGTCAACGACGTACCGTAAACGTAGGTTGGCGTACGTAACAGCATATCAAATTAACTGCCATACTTAAACAAAAGCGTCAGCGCTGTCTGGCTGTCAAAAAATTCTCATGCCTCTCATACCGAAACATTCTCAATACCGAAACAACGCGGCGTCAACGCTGAGCGGTTGGAAAATCCGATTTTGACAGGGCGTTAGGTATTGAAGTTGGCTGCAGAAAAGGGCGGAACTGTCATTTTCGTGTTACACACAAACAAACCTATGCTTATTGTTGGTGTTATTTCTGCGTTTGACGTAGCGTTGACGCTTTTGTTTAGGTATGGCACTTCGGCGCTAACGCTAAGCGTCAGAAACCGCTCCGCCCAACGCTTTTGTTTAGGTATGTCAGTTACTGTTGATAGAGAGAGAGAGAAGCAACGGCAACGTCACCGCCATGCGGTGGTGAGTTTTCGCTAACACGCGAATCCCATAAGGTAGATCGTGTCTGCGTCAACCTACGTCTACGTTATATCTGAAATACAATGGCGGCGAACGGTGAACTCACCACAGCGAAATTCGCGCTGTCAAAATTAGAACATCCGCAAGCATATGAAATTGAACACAGCCAAAGCGAAATGCGGTGGCCGTATTTTTTTTTGCTTTCAAAGTTTTAAAAGAAAACAACCTAAACACGATTTTTTTTGTTGTTTGAAAAATATAGTTGTGGATTCGTTAAATCTGGGTTGAAACAAATTATTTATAATAATCTTTCTTTGTTTTACATTTATATTTGTTACCATTTCCTCATTTCTAAATATGGTTAAGTTTTTTCTAAATATGGTCACCCAAATTATAAAGGCGACCGAATGGGATCAGCTGTTTTCGCTGCCGCTCTAATTCTGTTTAAAGCGAAGCGCACATTGGCGCGATTCTGTCGTTGCGAATACGTTGCGAATTCGGCTGTTAACTTCGAATCCGCAAACGTGCGCACACTTGAGCGATTTTTTCGCGTCGATTTCCGATGTACAATTCACTAAATTTTCCCTTTATTTCGTGTATTTTCACACTCGGCGTGCCCAAATCGTACAAAATACTATTATTACGAACGTTTTTATTAGTTTTTGTATATTACACGTTTTTTTTTCTTTGCCTTTATTGCTGTGACACCTTTCTTCTTCTTCTTTGACGCCTTCAAAACGCTGCAAGCCGCGTTTCGAACGCGTCAATAGAGAACATTGAATGTTCGAAAAATTCGCGGCGACGGAATCGTGCAAGTGTGCGCTAGCGCATTAAAATGTATGGGTAGCATTGTTGTAATTTTTTGGGCTTGCGGATTCGCAACGACAGAATCGCGCCAATGTGCGCTTCGCTTAAGTAGGCGAAATAGCTGGGCGAACGGTGAACGACAGCATCGCCCAATTCGGCGAAGTTTGCCGTTCGCCGGTATTGTATTTCAAGCATTCCGTCGTTGACAGTTTGAGCTTTTAACTAAGTTAAGTTGAGTTGAAGAAACCAGCCCTAAAGGTCTGATTATGCATACTTCGCATAACTTCGCAAAACCATTTGTACCAGTGCAATAGAAATGTAACGTAAGAAAATGTGAAGCAAAATCTTAACTCAATAGATCGCTAAGTTTTTAAAAGTTCTGCTAATTTCTGGGTAATGGAATATATACAAAATACATAAAAAATACGTACGAAATTACAGTTCGAAATTTATGCGAAGTTATGCGCAGTATGCATAATCAGACCATATGTTATCGTTCGCGCGATATTTTATTTCCTATGCCGATTTGATACTAGTATTGATACTTTTATGGCATCGTAATGTATTCAAACCGTATAAGCACACATGAACCAATTAGGCCGGTGTTATGCAGAAATTTTGTTTGGCAAACTGCGTGCAATTGTTGTTGCAGCAAACTCTGAGAGAGCGAGTTTGGCGACTCTCACAGCAAACTAATTTTAGACCTTAGAACAGATCTGACCGGTTGAGAACATAAATGAAAGACACAAGATCACGCGGTAAGGAAAGAAAGAAAAAAAGTTATTTTCTAGCTGCCGAAATCTCGACGCCATCTTTGTTGTAAGAAGTAAACAACGAAGAGAACGGAGAAAACCACGAAATTGTTGAACGCATTAATAATCATTTTTATTATGCAAATTCTTCTATAAATCATGCCGTTGTATTAAATTATTCTTTATTTTATGTGTACACACGTTGTCACAGGCGAAAATGAAGAAAATTGCAGTAAAAAGCCACCAAATTGTAAACAACGAAGAAATGTTAACAAACGGCTAATGTCAAAATCGTTAAACTTTTTTCCTAAATGCGATTCTAACGGGCTCCTGCCCGCGTGATCTTGTATTTTTGGTTCATGGGTTGAGAAGCAGCCATTTGTAATAGGAATTGAGAAAAAAGTGTGTGACGCTCGTAATTTTGAAGTTTGCTATTTATGTTTTGTTTCTTTCTTTATGTGTATTTTGTCGGTGGTTTATTTCAGTGATTTTTTGTGCAAATGTAATTAAAATGAAGTCCGCGGTGATTGGATGAAAAAACACGCACAAAAATAATAAATTGGTTAGCACAAACATGTGCACAACATTGCTTGCATTTTTTCTTTATGCTTCGTCTTCATATTCTTTGTTTACTTTTCACAGAAAATAACATGGCGCCGAAATTACAAACATCAGCCAGAAAATTACTTTTTTATTTTGCTTCATGTTGTCAGATCTTGTGTAGTTGGATCATGATAAGCACAGTATACATACAGCATATCGACAATAATTTGTTTTTATTTCTGTTTACCTGCTATTACGCCGAAAAGTAACATGAACAAACTAACAAGATCACGCAATCGAAAAAGAATGAAAAAAGTAAATTTCTGAGCGTTTTTGACATCTACCTAAGAATGAAAACAAACAAAGAAAACGAAAAAGGCGCGGTGATTGAGTGCGATTAAATTGGTATTTATTATAAAATATACAAAGGGAAACTTGATGACAATTAGCAAAAAAAGTGCATAAAATATGGTTTTCATGATTGAAAGTGTTTTACAATCGCATATTATCACCACGGGTCGATTTTTCAATGCCAGGCCAGCGTTCTGGCCAAAAACGTGCACCCACTATTCACGAAAATTTAGGCCTTTTGCAAGACCGCACAAACTTGTTCCAATCACAAAGCACTTCATTTTATATGATAAATTTGTAATAAATCGAAATTAAAATGAAAATCGCTAATAAAACACATCAAATTGCTAAAAAAAGCCATCCCGAAGCGATAGAAGATAGAAGAAGTAAAATTTTGATAGTTGAAAAACCAAACAAACTCTCGTGCGAAATCTCTATTTTTGTGTGTTGCTGAAATTGTTAAAATTTATATTTATTTTATAGCTTGCAAGTAACGTACGCTTTTTGTGCTTTTTCAGCTTTCATTTTCATGTTGACTCTTTATTACCGCCAAGCAATTTATGTGTATACATGTTTATAAAATGTCAAACTTTTACCTAGCCCCATGAGAAATGTTAAATTTTTACTTTGATCCGTCAAAA